ATTGGGGTGCATTAGAGGGGTTCACTGGGGTGGGGACCATTATTGGGGTGCATTAGAGGGGTTCACTGGGGTGGGGACCATTACTGGGGTGCATTAAAGGGGTTCACTGGGGTGGGGACCATTATTGGGGTGCATTAGAGGGGTTCACTGGGGTGGGGACCATTATTGGGGTGCATTAGAGGGGTTCACTGGAGAGGGGGACCATTATTGGGGTGCATTAAAGGGGTTCACTGGGGTGGGGACCATTATTGGGGTGCATTAAAGGGGTTCACTGGGGTGGGGACCATTATTGGGGTGCATTAGAGGGGTTCACTGGGGTGGGGACCATTACTGGGGTGCATTAGAGGGGTTCGCTGGGGTGGGGACCATTATTGGGGTGCATTAAAGGGGTTATTGGGGGACAGTGCAGTAAGGGGGGGTGCACTGGGGAGAGGGTGCATTAAAGGGGTTCAGTGAAGGGGCATTGAAGGGGGGTGCCCTGGCAGCGGGGTGTCTGTGGGGTGCAGGGACAAACAGCAGCAGCTCCACAGCTGCATGGCGGGTTTGCCCTACCCCGGGTGAGCCCCCCGGGTCCCTGTGCACTGCTGAGGGGGCTCTGTCTGTTTTCCATCCCCCCAGTTCCTCTCATTCCCAGCTCCTGAGGCAGGATGCCCTTTCCTGGTCTGTCCCACACACCCCGGCTCCCCCCGCCCGCAGCCTCCCCTTTTCTCTCCTCCCTTAATAATCAAATTCTCCGGAGCACTTTGCGGTGTGGCAGCCAGCCAGAAAGGGTTTCTTTAAACTCCACCAGCTCACAATTAAACAAATCCGGGGCTGACGCTACTCGATAGGCGCTTATTCCCCTCCCTGAGAGCTGCCGGGGGATCCGGGGGGGTCCAATCGCTTCGTTCCCAGCTGCGATAGCAGCTCACCCTATGGGGCTGCACCCCTGGGTGTGGGGCAGGGTTTGGGGCGGGGGTTCGGGGTGGGGAACGGGGTGTCCGCGGTGCCAGCAGTGCTCTGATGGCGGAGCATCCCCCTGCGAGAGCGCGCTGCTATTTTTAGTCGCTGAGTCCTTGTTGATGGAGCAGCCGGAGGAGCAGCAGGGCTGGAGCAGCCCCCGCGGGATGAGCAGCAGCTGGGGAGCCAGGCCAGCGTGCAGGGACACGGGGGACGCCTTTTTCCCCATGGGGCTGAGGGGCTGGGGGGCTTGGGTGCTTACCGAGGGTCCCTGACATCCATGGAAATCCTGGGCTGCCTTCAGAGGGCTCATGTCCCTGGCAGGCAGGAGGAAGGGGGAGGAAAGGGGAGAAGGCAGGGAGGGAAGGCAGGAAGGCAGGCAGGAAGGAAGGAAGGAAGGAAGGAAGGAAGGAAGGAAGGAAGGAAGGAAGGAAGGAAGGAAGGAAGGAAGGAAGGAAGGAAGGAAGGAAGGAAGGAAGGAAGGAAGGAAGGAAGGAAGGAAGGAAGGAAGGAAGGAAGGAAGGAAGGAAGGAAGGAAGGAAGGAAGGAAGGAAGGAAGGAAGGAAGGAAGGAAGGAAGGAAGGAAGGAAGGAAGGAAGGAAGGAAGGAAGGAAGGAAGGGAGTGGGGAGAGGAAAGTAACATGAAATCCAGCCACACAGCACAAATCCTGGCAGTGCCACACGCTGCCCCAGCTCGGCTCCTGATGTTGGCCTGTGCCATGCATCAGCCCCCAGCTCCATGGCAGCATGACCCCGTGCACCATCGTGGCCCTGGGTCGTACCCTGGCACATCAGGGAGGTGCATCAGGTCCTTGTGTGTCCCCCATGAGTGACACGGGCTGTGCTGGGCTGTCCGTGCTCCCTTGGGACCAAGGGCACAGGATGCTCTGGCTGGAGCCAGCAGTGAGAGCTGCTCCTTGTGTTCCAGGGACAGGGTTGTGCCAGTGCTGGTCACCCTGGTGGCCCCAAGTCCCTGTCCTGTCCCTTCCCAGGGACCCACACCACGAGCCCTGGCCACAGCACGGCTTTGCCAAGGGCAGGTCCAGCTGCAGCCATGCACCAACAGCCCTGTATCGATTCCCATCTCAGAGTCAGTGTCTGGAAACTTCTTCGGGGTCAGGAGAGCTCGTCCAGCAGGGACGTGGCAGGGACAGTGAGTGGGCAGGGCCCCAGGGGCCAGCCACAGCCACCTCCCTCTCCGGGGGAAGGCTGTAACCTCCCTGCTGTCGACAGCTTGATTTGATGCCATTAAAGCTTTGCTGGGAAACAGCCTGCACCAGGCACAACATCTGGCACAGCCCTTCCCCACCAACGCCGCGGCACATCCGAGAGCAGAGCTGGCCCCAGGCTCTGCCAAGGGCTCTGGGTGCTGCTGGTGATGTGTGTGTCCCCTCCCAGGGACAGCCTGGTGCCCCACAGGGACATGGGACCGTGGCTCTGGGCTTGTGGGATTTCAGCTGGAACATGTTCCCTCTGTGCATCCCCAGCTCTGCGTGCCGGTGACTGATCCTTCCCCTCGCACCATGCACTTCTGCTCATCCCAACATTGTCCCAGCTGTTTGGAAAATTAACAATAATTAATTAATAATAATAATTAATTAATCACGATAATTAATAATAAAGGAGAAAGGGGAGAAAAGCTCCCCCTAAAGCTTCAGCCCAGGGTCTTCTCAAGCCGATTTCATTTTTCAAACCCACTCCCACACAGCATGAAGGGCTCTTTGCTCCCATTAATTCTCCCACCACAGCCCAGGGCTGCCCCACAGCCTGGCTTTGATTTTCCTGCCTTTGTTCCAGCAGCACTGGCACAGGATACCATGCTGTGGTAGGGGCTTTTGTGCCAGCTTTCCAGATTTTTTTGGACCCATCTTTTCCCTGGAATCTAGGCTTTAGCTGCATCCAGTTGCCCGCAGAGCCTGCAAGATGCAATATGTGGCAGTGACATGGAAAACATCCCAGAAGGGGATGGGGGACGGGGAGGGATGGGGTGCTGGGCTGCTGTGGGTGGCACTGAGCCTGGCTCCAGTGGTGCCCAAGGACACTGTGATTGGTGCATGCCTGAGCAGCTGGTGCTTGTGGAGACATAAATAAAGCCGTGTGTGTGTGTGTGTGTAGACCCCAAAAAGGTGCTGAGGTGTCACTGGTGGGTGCTGCAAGGAAAAGGGCTGAGCTGGGGCCTGTCAAACCAGCAATGTGGTTTACGTTGCTGTGGCAGAACTGCCAGCAAAGGGACCGTGTGGTGTTTGACGTGTTGTGGCAGTGGCATGAGCGTGATGGAGGGACATGTGGGGACACACATGAATCCATATCCTGGCTCAAGGCTGCCTGGCACCACAGGGAAGTGTGCCAGGAGCTGGGATGGGTTCAGATAGACATTGCCAGCACCCCGTGCCCTCCTCTTGTTATACTCATTGCCTTGCTGGAGGCTGAGGGGACAGCACTGGTGTCACCACTGTGTCACTGCCAAGAGAGCAGCACTGAGGATGTCCCTGGACAGCCACAAACCCTTGGGGCTGCCCTAACCCAGGCTGACAAATCCCCGTCTCATCCAGGCTTGCATCCACCCCAGTACCTTCAACCCACGGGCACTGGGGGCAGGCAGCATGCATCCCCCTGCCGCCAAGCCCTTCATTAGCCCCCACAAGCCACTTGACTGCCTTAAGAGATCAAACCAGTGCCCCAGGTGTGTCCCTGCTCCCAGAGCAAGCGGGCTGAGGAAATGGGGAGCTTTAATGACGCCGGTGGCGAGGCTCGGTAATGACGGCTGCCGGCGGGAGCAGACAGCTTCCAGATGGCATCGCGCCGGGGCAGGGGGATCGCCGGGGCCGGGGGGGCTGCGGGAGGCAGCAGCCGGCAGAGCCGGGCAGAGCCAGCAAGTTGAAATGACTTTTTTTGCAGCAGAGCCTGCGGTTCTGGCCCTCCGCGCTGCTGCTTCCAGTAATTAGCCCAATAATTAAAAAGAATGGCGATAAGAGGGGTGTGCAGAGGCGCTCGCAGGATCCCGGCATCCCTGGGGAGGCGTGTGAGAAGGGCGGGAGTGATTTGCGGATGTGAGGGGTGGTGGATGTGTGAAACACAAAGCAGAGGGACCCCGACACGGTGTGGGGGGGTCACTGCACCAGGTGACCAGGCAGGGAGGGGTGGGCAGCAGGGATGGGCAGCTTCAGCAGCAGGGGCAGGAGGATGGCTGAGCCCACTGCAGGCAGGGAGGAGGCAAGCAGACCCCAGCACCCTCCCGGGCATGGGCACTGTGCTGCGATGCAGGGAGAGGGGAGAGAGGAGGATGCAGGACGCTGCAAGGTGGGGATGCAGTGCCAGGCAGTGTGATGCAGGGCGACAGAGCACGATGCAGAGTGATGAGAGGTGACACAGAGCCAGCTGCTGCCATCCGGGGCGGTGCAGTGCACACGGAGGGGATGCAGGGCAATGGGATGCCATGCAGGGCAATGAGATGCAGGATAATGCAATGCAGGGCAGGACAATGCAGGGGGATGAAGTGCAAGGTGATGTGGTGCAGGGTGATGTGAGGTGAGGCAGGAGGAGGCGATGCAGGGCAATGCAGTTCAGGGCGATGCAATGCAAGGCAACACAATGCAGGGAGTCAAAATGGAAAGTGATGCGATGCAGGATGAGGCAAAGCAATGTGATGCAGGGCCATGCAAATCAGGGTGATGAAAGGTAAGGCAACATGGAGCAAGGGTAGGCAGTGTGAGGCGATGCAATGCAGGGCAAATCAGGGCGATGCAATTCGGGGTGATGCAAGGCAACCAGATGCAGGGAGGTGAAACACGAGGTGAGGTGTTGGAGAGCAATGCAAGGCCATGCAGGCAATTCAGTGCACCGGGGTGATGCCAGACAATGCAGGGCAATGCGAGGGGATGCAGCATCACGTGCTGTGTTCCGGGGTGGCTGTGAGTCGATCCCCAGTGGGGCAATGCCCAGCAGCTGAGGTGAGGCGAGGCAGGGATGTCCCCATGGTGCAGGTGACACTGGCCCTCTCGGACCCTGGCCCACCGCGGTGGCGACGCTTCATTTGAATTCTCGCCTCTCTCTCTTCGCAGATAACGAGCCCGCGCCATGCAGTCCTTTCGAGAAAGGTGTGGTTTCCATGGCAACCAGCAGAGCTACCAGCCGACTTCACAAGATACATCACGCCTGGAGAATTACAGGCATCAAAGTCAGGCAGGGCCGAACTGCGAGCGGCAGAGGCTGGTGGCGAAGGAGTACTACAGTCAGCAGCAGCTGCCGTACGCGGGCTATGAGAACAGCGCCGTGGAGAAATACCACCGGGGAAACAAGCAATTAGCGGGGCAGCAGCTGCAGGGCAGGCCGGCCTTTTCCAATTACACCGTGCAGGAGAACAGCCCTTATCCGGCCCGGTATTCCGGGGACGAGAGCCTGCAGGCCTGGGGAGGCCAGCCACAGGCACTGCCCGGTGGTGTGGCCAAGTATGAGGACAACCTGATGAAGAAGACAGTGGCGTTGGCGGGCGGGCGGCCGTACCATGAGCCGGCGGCCACCTCGCTGCCCTTCCGGACTCACTTCCAGCAGCAGCCGCAGCAGCAGCAGCAGCAGCAGCAGCAACAGCAGCAGCAGCAGCCGCCCGCACTCCCCTACCCCAAGCTGCAGCGGCAGAAACTGCCCAACGATGTCTCCTCACCCATGCCCTTCTCACAGAGCCCTCACTTCGGGCAGCACTCCCAGTCCTTCCCTGCCTCCTCCACCTACTCCTCGGTGCCGGGGGGCAGCCAGCCCGCACACTCCTACAAGAGCTGCACAGCGCCCTCGGGGCAGCCGCCGCTGGAGCGGCCCCTGGGCAGCGCTGCCAGCCTGGCCCCTGGCCCCCGTGTGCCCAACCTGCACGGCTACCAGCCCAACCGCATCGGCTACGAGCAGCCCCCACAGCCGCCGCCACAGCCCCCGCAGCCGCCGCCACCGCAGCCCCCACAGCCACCGCAGCCCCCGCAGCCCCCGCAGCCCATGCAGGGGCGGCATCACGCCTCAGAGACCCTCCACTACCAAAACCTGGCCAAGTACCAACATTACAACCAGCCAGGCCAGACCTACTGCCAGGGCGATGCGCCGCCCGTGCGGACGCCGGAGCAGTACTACCAGACCTTCAGCCCCAGCGCCAGCCACTCGCCAGCTCGCTCCGTCGGCAGGTCCCCGTCCTACAGCTCCACTCCCTCCCCTCTGATGCCCAACCTGGAGAACTTCCAATACAGCCAGCAGCCCCTGAGTGCTGGTGCCTTCCCGGCTGGCATTGCTGACCACAGCCATTTCATGCCGCTGCTGAACCCTTCTCCCACTGATGGGACGAGCCCTGACGCTCAATCTGGGAACTGCAAAAACTTGCAGAAGGAGAAGCTGCCCGAAAACCTGCTGTCAGACCTGAGCCTGCAGAGCCTGACAGCACTCACCTCCCAGGTGGAGAACATTTCTAACACTGTCCAGCAGCTGCTACTCTCCAAAACGGCTGTGCCCCAGAAAAAGGGCATCAAGACCCCAGCGAGGACCCCTGAGCAGCTCAAGGGGCAGCACTGCAGTCCTGAGAGCAGCACCTACTCAGCAGAGCAGGTGGGGACCCCCCTGTCTGACCCACTGAGCACCCCCCAGTCTGTCCACGCTGAGACACAGGACACTGACTATCTCAGTGGGTCAGAGGACCAGCTGGAGAGGAGTTTCCTGTACTGCAACCAGAACCGCAGCCCTGCCCGCGTCAACAGCAACTCCAAGGCAAAGCCTGAGTCGGTGTCCACCTGCTCTGTGACCTCCCCAGATGACATGTCCACCAAATCAGATGACTCTTTCCAGAGTATCCATGCCACCCTGCCCCTGGAGACCTTCACCAAGTATGTGAGCAATGAACGGGACTGCCCCCGACTGCTCCTCAGTGCCCTGTCCCAGGAGGAGCTGGCTTCTGAGATCATCGTCCTGCAGGATGCCATCAATGAGAAGGCAGACAAAGCCTGGGCCAACTTGCCCATGCTGGGAAAGGAGACCACCAAGTCGCCCTTCCAGATGGAGAACCACCGGCCCAGCCTGGACTCCATGGTGAAAGGTGCCTGGCCCAGCCAGGGTGACTCCAGCACGCTCACCGAGCCCCTCAAGCTGGACAAAGCTTCAGGGGCCAGCACAGGGAAGGACTTTAGTGAGGAGGTGTACGAGGGTCCCCAGGTGGAGTTCACAGCCACCGAAAGCAAGGATGTGCTGAAGGACACTGCCCCACTGGCCTTCAACTCCAAGCCCAGCATCCCGGCAGCGACGTCCAGCGCAGGAGCCACCGGCTACAGCTGCTACTCAAACACCACCGCCAACTCGGTGGCGTCTGAGAATGCCATGGAGCATTTCGAGTGGCCGGAGGAGAGCCTGGGTGAGGCCTGCCTGAGGTGGAAGGATCTCCAGGCCACCGACCTCCCCAAGGGCTTGTTCCCCAGCAAATTGGTGAGCTCCTGCAAGGAGAAAAAAAACGCCTGCGGCTTGGACCTGTGCGATGGAGAGCAGCCAGCCAAGAGTGAGCCGGTCCAGGACTTTGGCCAGCAGGTGATGGGGGAGGAGGAGGAGACACTGACCTACGATGAAGCAACAAAGGCAGACAGCGAGAGGTGGCTGCAGGACACCCGGCACTGCTGCTCAGCTGGGGACTTTAGTGAGATCCCCATCATCTCCTCTCCGGATCTGAAGGAGTCAGACCTGGAGGCAGAGGAGTACTCCTCACTCTGTGAGCTGGCTGGCTCAGAGCAGAAGTCAGTGACGTACGATGCCTCACCACCCAAGCCCCCGGAGATACCGGCTGTGCTGTCCTCCAGCGAGGTGCCTGTGTCTGCCGAGGAGACCGTCAGCACGGTGGAGAAGGAGAGCTCAGCTCCCACCCCACGCCTCTCTGGCCAGTCTGTCATCCTGCTGGGCCCCGCTGTGGGCACAGAGACCAAGGTGAAAAGCTGGTTCAAATCCTCCCTGCCCCACATCCAGCCTGAGGAGGAGAATGGTGGAGGGGAGACATCCCACCTGGAGGCGGCCGACGCTGAATCCGCCTCGTCGGTCATGGTGAAGCAGCAACTCACGCCCGAAAACGTGCTGGGGAAGATGGAGCCTGTCTCACGGGGCAAGAGCCTCCGCAACAAGAGGGTCCACTGCCGGCTGCCGGAGGGGGATGGTGCCGGCAGCACCGTGCTGAGTCCCTTCGATGAGCTGCCAGCAGCCAGCAGCGTGGCCGGCGCCTGCCTGGGGCCAGACGGACAGACGGAGGTACCGAGCAAGAGCGCCCAGAGCCAAACCCCCCGGTTCCCAGCCGAGGGGCTGCCGGCACGCATGTGCACCCGCTCCTTCACCGCCCTGGCCGAGCCCCGCGCCCCTGCCCCGCTGGAGGGACTGAAGGCCCCCGCGCACCAGGAGAAGCTGGGGAAGAAGCCCGGCTGTGGCGTGAAGCAGAGGGTGGCTTTCAAAACCAGGAAGCGCAACAGCCGGCCGGGCCCCAGGGTGGTCCAAAATGCCAGTGATGCCACCCTCCTGGTGCCCGGCTTGGTGGCGGCGGAGGAGGTGGCAGGGCCAACACCGCTGGAGGGGGATGCGGTGGAAGCCGGGGAGAGGGACCAGCGGTCCATGATCCTGCGCTCCCGCACAAAGACACAGGAGGTTTTCTACACCAAGCGGCAGAGGGGCAAGCGGGCAGCTGATGTCCGGCTGAAGAACTGCAAGGCACCCAAAAAGCTCATATCCAACAACCACCTCCCACCTGCCTTCAAGCTGCCAGCACCGGGCAGCCCCCACAAGGAGGGCAAGGTGGGTGCCCGGATGAAGCTGCCCAAAGCAGGGCCGGGCGTGGGGGGCAAGATGTCGGAGAGGCCGCTGCACTCACTGAAGAGGAAGTCCACCTTCATCTCCCCCATCCCCACCAAGAAGAGGAACCTGGTCCTGCGGAGCAACAGCGGTGGCGTGAAGGAGGAGAAGCCAGAGGGTCCCCCCAGCCTTTTCAAAAAAATGCCGGTGGCCAAGAAGGTGAAAGCCAAGCTGCCCCCCAAGAGCTCTGGCGAAGCCATCCCGAAGCCCCCCCTGCCTAAGGAGGCCCCTGATGTCTGCATCAAGATCACCTCCCGGGCAGCCTTCCAGGAGGCCACCAAGACCAAAGTGCTGCCTCCCCGCAAGGGCCGTGGCCTCAAGCTGGAGGCCATCGTCCAGAAGATCACCTCACCCAACCTGAAGAAGTTCACCTGCAAACCAGCAGCCACAGCAGTGGCAGCCACAGTAGCTGCCTATGGCTCCTCCCTGAGCCCGGCTGGAGCGGAGCGGGAGCGGATGGTGAAGCACAGTGGGGTGGCTGTGGCAGTGGGCGATGCCAGGCTGCCCAAGCTGGGGGCAGCACAGAAGGTGCCCACCATGCCGGTGGCTGAGCCGCTCTGCCGGAACCCCAATGGCCGAGCACCAAAGGGGAAGCCGGGTGGTGGGAAGAAGCTGCCCCATGACGGCTGCCAGGGGGAGGCTTGTGGGTCAACGCCGGGCACCCAGTCCAGCCCCAACATGGTGGCCAAGAACCTGGGGCTCCTCCCCAAGAAGAGGAACCGCAAGGGCAAAGCAGCAGCGCTGGGCATGGCCAAGGCGCCCCTGAGCCCTCCACTGCCACCAGCACTGCCCCGGGAACGTGTAGCCGGCCCGGGCGGTGCGGAGGAGGCGCCGCGGGAGAAGAAACCAAAGACTGAGGAGAAGGAGGCGGGGAGCAGCGATGGCCCTCCCGAGGGCCGCTCCGCCGCCGGGCCGGCGCGGGGGCCGAAGCCGCGGGCCAACCACTCCAACTACAACGGCTACTCCAAGCGGCAGCGGAAGCGTCTGGGCCACGGCAAGGCCAAGGCGGTGCCCGCGCGGTGCAAGAGCCGCGGGAAGCGGCGGCGGCAGCCCCAGCAGGCCCCGCTGCTGCACCCCGCCGAGCCCGAGATCCGGCTCAAGTACATCTCCTGCAAGCGGCTGCGGGCGGACAGCCGCGCCCCGCCCTTCGCTCCCTACGTCCGCGTGGAGCGGCGCGGAGAGTTCTCCACCTCCTGCACCGTCGTCAACTCGCCCGGCGACGAGGCGCGGCTGCAGCGGGGACCGGCCGGGCCGGCGCCGCGGCCGCGGGCGGCCCTGCCCGCCTCCTCCACCATGCACATGGGGCCGGTGGTGTCGAAGGCGCTGAGCGCCGCGTGCCTGGTCTGCTGCCTCTGCCGCAACCCCGCCAATTACAAGGACCTGGGGGACCTCTGCGGGCCTTACTACCCCGAGGACTGCCTGCCCAAGAAGAAATCCCGGCTGAAGGAGAAGGCGCGGGCGGAGGGGCCGGGCGAGGACTCCGCCGTGCCCGCCGCGGCCGAGCGGGCGCCCCGCGGGACTGAGGGCGGCTGCGGCGGGAAGGCGGCGCGGCCCGAGGGGGCCGCCGAGGCGGCCAAGCAGAGCTCGCTGCGCTCCAGCCCGCGGGGCATGTTCCGTCGGCTGCAGAGCTGCTACTGCTGTGACGAGAGGACAGAGGGCGAGGAGGCGGCCGAAAAGCCCCGGCGGCACGAATGTCACAAGGCCGAATCGCCGCCGCAGGAGCCGGCGGGCGACACGCAGGAGCACTGGCTGCACGAGGCCTGTGCCGTATGGACCGCTGGGGTTTTCCTGGTGGCAGGGAAGCTCTATGGGCTGCAGGAGGCTGTCAAGGCGGCTGCCGACCTGGTAAGAGCTCGGCCGCACGCCCTAGGCGGCATCTTCCGCTGGCCTCCTTCAGCCAACGCCATTGCCGTGTCTGCGCCTTCGGTCGGGATGGAAATTGATAGTTCTGCCCTGGGAGAGCAGGGCAGGGGCTGAGCACCGTGAGCTCTGCTGGGTCCCTACGAGATTTGAGCTGCTGCGTCTTTGATAGCACCTGAACTCTCCCTTTTAGGCACAGAAATAACCTGCAGTTTATGTTTTAGGAAGGCAGCTGGGCCCCGCTGGTATTGTCACATCCCCTGGCCCAGTCGTGTGTTGCACGGGGTGGCTCAGAGCAGGACAGATGCCGCGGGGTGGGAGATGAAAATGGGCACAACACAGCCTGGTGCCACCGTGATGGGCGGGCAGCAGGGGAAGGGGAGCTGGAGGGAGGGGATGACCCTGCCCTGCTCCTCTCCCACAGTGGTTGGAGCAAGGTGTGAGCAAAATAGGGAGGTTGCTGAAGGGGATGAGAAGTTGTGGCTGGCCCATTCCTGGAAGTGTTCAGAGCTTGATGGGGATTGGAGCAACCTGTTCTAGTGGAAAGTATTCCTGCTTGTGGGAGGGGGCTGGAATGAGGTGAGTGTTTTTCAGGTCCCTTCCACACCATCCTGGGATTCTGTGACATGCATTTTTAGTGCTGGGGAGAGGAAGGGATCAGAGGCTGTGCAGAGGGTTTCCAGCAAGTCCCCCCCACTGCCAGGTTTGGGGGCTGGCTGTATTCCCATGCCTGTGTGCTCATTTCATGGCTATCTGGAGGCTGCTGCCCTCACCACAGAGCCAGGTGCTCCCATCCCTGCAGCACCTGCTGGGGATGGGGCAGGTAGGGCACAATCCAGGTCATGTCCCTTCCCCTCCTGCCCCATGGAGTATGGCTGTGGGCTCGGTGTCATCCAGGGGAGTGGTATGGCAGGTAGAAACCTCCTGCATGGCTGCAGACAACCCAGTGACAGGCATGGTGTGGTTCACAATGCACTGGCATGGGAGCAAGGATGTTGCCTGGGAGAGGCAAGGAGGGGCTGGAGAGGATCAGGGACACCCATGTTGCCCTCACTGCTGGGGCTGTCGTGGTTCTCTTCTTCTGTGCCGGGCTTTGACAGGGTCTCTCTGTCTCTCCACATCTCTCCTTCCCTGCTCCGAATTCCCGGGTGCGTGTACAGAAGTGCTCGAGCTGCCAGCAAGCAGGAGCCACCGTGGGCTGCTGCCAGAAGGGGTGTCCCCACACCTACCACTACGCGTGTGCCATCGACACAGGTGAGCCCGGCCACAGGGATGGGGCTCGGGGTCCTGGGCACTCTGACCCACCTCAGTGTGGGGCCCATTGCTCCAGGGTCAGGGGCTTGTGGCTCACTGGCTTGCCAGCGTGGTGATGCCCACTGTGCCAGCAGCACTGGCAGGTGTCACAAGCTTGTCTGGCCTCAGCTGAGCCCTTCACACCCAAACGCTGTGGCTGGTGGGTGGCTGTGGACTGGGGGCACACTGCATTCCCCCCACTGAGGGGCAGCTGCCTCGCAGTGCAGGCTGTCCCCTGACATCCTTGTCCTCTCCTCGCAGGCTGCTTATTAACTGAGGAGAGCTTCTCTCTGAGATGTCCCAAACATAAGGTAAGCCAGAGCCCCCTGTGCACCCCCCAATGCTCTGCAGCTCCCTGTGGCAGGAGGACCTGCCTTCAGACCCCAGATTTCTGGGGATGCCCATCCTGGATGCTCAGCTCTGTGTGGGCATCACATCCCTGGGGGTATGGGGTGTGCCAGCCCCTGGGTGCTGCTGGGTCTGGGACACCCCAGCCAGCTCTGAGGGGTCTTATCCCCTTCCCTGAGCACAGACGAGGTGGTGAACGATGGTTGAACCCCTTCTCAAAGCGCTGCGTCCCGGGTGGATGCCCGGTTATTGGCAACGGGGGGTGGGCGGCGATGGGGACAACCCAGGGCCACCCCCCTGCCTCCAATGTGATCCCCGGGCTGACCCCTCCGTTCTCCCCGCAGAGGCAGCCGGTGTAGCGCCCGCGGACACCCGCCCCGCCGCCAGCGAGGGACCGGCAGAGGAGGCAGCGCCTGGAGCAGAGCGGGGCCGGGCCGGGCCGTACCGGGGACCCCCCGAGCCCGTGAGCGCCCCGGGATCCCCCGAGCCCGCTCCGGGCGGGCGGAGCCAGCGCCGGGCTTTCCCTCCCGCCGGGTCCCGGTAAAACCCGGTCTGGATACGCGGGGGACGGATCGGGATCCCCCACCTGCGATGGCTGCACAGGGGGGCGGGGGGTGTCCGTGTACGAGGAGGGGTCCCGGCGATGTTGTCTTACTGTGGGGCCGCCGGACCCTCCGTGGGTCCCGGCTCTCAATATCACACTGATCTGATCTGAGATGTTGCCTTCAGCAAACCTCATGGTGTCTGTATATAGTTCTGCGAAGAAGAGGATTAAAAAAAAAAGACAAAAAAAAAAGACCAAAAAAAAAAGAGAAAAATGAGAAAAATGAGAAAAAAAAAGGGCAAACAACGGCCTGCTGTTTGAAACACCACTCTGCTTTTTCTGTTTTGTTCTTCCATCTCCTGTTTGCCCCCACCTACACCCAGGGTGCTGGGGGGGATAAGGGTGCTTGGCCAGGCTGGTGGCACCCACCGGGCTGCCCCGCTCCCAAACCCCAAACCCTGACTCATTGCACCCCCACCCTCCCACTCCATGCGGCGCTGGCACTGCTGGGCTGGGGACACCTGGTCCTGCTATCCAGGACCCCCCAAAACCCACCCTCCTGCCTGTGCTTGGCCTCACCAGCACCCCTCCTGTGGCTCCTCTCGTGGGGGCTCTGCTCCCTGTGCTTGTGCTGAACCCCACAGCTCTGCGTGCTGAACTGGAGGAGGAGGAGGAGGAGGCATTTGCTTCCTCCCTCCACATGGGCCTGGCTCACCCCTCACTGCTCTGGTTTTGCTCAACTCCCTTGACTTTTGCTTCGTGGCCACCTCAGTGGAGCTGGGAGACTGCCCAACACTTTGGTGACCCTTGCCCACGTCCCCAGGCTCCACAGCCCATCTTTGTGTCACCCTGACACAGGTAGCAACCAGCCCAGGTGAACCCAAGTCCAGATCTCATCCTACAAACAGCCACTGGCTGTCCCCCAACCTCTGCAGCATCCTGCAAAGGGGGGCACACTGCTGGTCCCATCCATGTCCCCACAGAGCCAGCGCCCCATGTCCCCACCACCTCTTGTGTCCCCTCCATCCCACCCACCCCAAGGTTTGCTGGCCACACAATGTCTGTTGTTTCAGCAGCTGCCTCGGACACAGGAGTGAAAAACAAAAAGAGGAGGTGAGAAAAAAAATTTTAAAAAGGGAGAAATAATAATAAAAAAATTAATTTAAAGAAAAAAATAAATCCCGTGTCCTTGGCAGTGTTGCCTGAAATCTGGCTATTTTTAGTGACATCTTGTACATATGACTGTAAAATGGTAAACCGTGTGTATTATATATTGCCTCATTATATAGTGTATATATATGTATACATATACATATATATAATATATATGAAGACTGTAAATGTTAAGACTAGTGTTCTTATTAGTATATTGCTTCACACTGAAGATTGTGTGTAACAAGCTGTTTCTAAAAGATGTTTATTTTCCTTAAGAGTAAAAAAACAGGTCATTGCATTCAGAGCGTCAATAAAGATACAACGATTGTTTTGGAAGTACGTGGCGCCCTGCTCGTGGCCTCTCTTTATCCTTGGGGGGCTGCTGGGGTCCCCCCCAGACTGTGACAGCCCCTGCCTGCTCCTTTGTCCCCAAGGGTCTCGCTAGAGGGGAAGGGGTGTGGGAACAGGGGGACAGCACCCCTGGGACACAGTGGGGTACAGAGGGGGGTGTTTGGGGTCCCTCAGCACCCAGTGTCCCCATCCCTGCCACCCCCTCCCGTGCAGCCCTGTGGGGACAAGGTGACCACAGCTATGAGGGACTCCTTGCCCCCCACTTTTGGTGCCAGTCCCCCTCCAATCCAACACACACCAGTATAAATAATCAGCTTTAATTGTCTGTACAAAACTCTGCAACTATGAAAATACCGTTTAAAAAGGGAAAAGGGGAGTGGGGGGAGGCGAGGGGAGGGGTCTATGTACAAGAGGGGGTGAAGCAAGGACACAGGGGCGCCCACCAGCCCCCCAGGAGCCCCGTGCCACCCTGCCAGCCCTTCTCCCAAAGCCTGTCCGTGCTCCGGGGGGGTGGCAGCTCTTAATGGGGGGGGGGATCAGTGCTGGGGAGGAGGGGGTCGGGCGGGGGTCCCCTCTTGCCTGCCGTGGGCATGGCTGGGCAGGGGGCACTCCCCGCTGCCAGGGGGCCACACCTGCAGAGGCAAGCCCCAAACCCAGGGGTCCTGCAGCAGGGGGACCCCGGGGTGGGGGGGTGTGCACGGAGGGGCGCAGGTGACACGGGGGGATGCGGGTGGCACTGGCGGGGGCCGGGTGGCACCGGGGGTCGCTGCCGCGCGTGCGGTCCCTGCAGTTCTGCCACAGTGTCACTAGAGGGCCCCACGGCCCGTCCCCACGCGGGCCGGGGACACGGACACGGCCCGGGGGGAGCCCACCCAGAGCACCCCCCGTGCGGCTGCCCCACGCTGCGACCCCCGCCCCGCACCCCCGCACCCGCCAGGCATCACCCGGCCCCTCCCCACCCACCCCTTCACCCCCCAAACCGCTGCCGAACATCCCCCTGCGGGGAAACTGAGGCACGGCCCCCCGCCACCGCCCGCATTCCGCACCCACGGGGGTGGCGGGGGGGCTGGCGGCCCCTTCCCCACCTATCCCGACGTGACGGTGGTGCCGCTGCCCAGCTTGATGATCATCTGCTGGCAGTCGTGCAGCGTGCGGCGGTCGCCCAGCTTGTCCAGCGTGCGGGCGGCCTCGGCCAGCATCCCCACGCGCTGGCCCGGGCCCGCCAGGAAGCTGGGCGGGAGGTAGCAGCAGGCCAGCAGCAGCGCCTCGGCGTGCTCCCGGGCCGTGGGGTGGCTTTCTGGCTCGCCAGCTGCAGGGGACAGAGCCGAGCTCAGCACCCAGGGCGCCCGTGGAAGTCACTGAATAAATCTCAGGGGGATCGTACGGGGATGGGGTTATTCACCCACCCTGAGGCTGGTGCCACCACCAGTGAAGGGGCTTGGAGCTCAGGTGGCCCAGGTTTTGGGGTGCTGCAGGTGGGGTGTCCCACCCGCTGACCCACCATCTGTGGGGCTGGAGTGCTGCAGGTGGGAAAGGGGTGTCCCACCCTATGTCTCACCCCACATCCTATCATCCAGGTTTGCTGTGGGTGCAGAATGGGGTCTCCCACCACTCAATGCCTGTGGGGGCTGCTGGAGGTGTGGATCAGGGTGCCCCACCCCATTTCCTGTCCTCCAAGGTGGTGACAAAGGATTCCCACACCATAACCCATCACCCAGCATGCTGGGGTACTGTGGGTGCACAGCCTTGTGTCGCACCCCTGTCCCACCACATATCCCACACCCTGGGCTGCTGGGGTGCTGCAGGTGAGGAGTGAAGTGTCCCACCCCATGTCCCACCCCATGTCCCACCCCGTGTCCCACCCCATGCCCACCTGTTTTGCTGCCCTGCACCCCTCTCCTCCTCAGGCTGCGGTCCAGGAGCTGGTGGGTGCGCGTGGGGCTGGCCCGGGCCATCAGCCTGGCAGTGGCTTCGTGCAGGAACACCTGGATTGGGGGGACAGTGAGCACAGCCAGGTGCAGGGCACCAGGGAACCGTGCAGGTGATGGGAGGGGGGCTCACCCGGCGCATGGCGGGGCGCAGGGTCTGTGCCAGGCGCCGCAGGCTGCTCAGGTCCTGCTGGAAGCCGCGGAGCTCCAGGGCGGACGCCTGGTAGAGGCAGCTGCGCTGCTGGCTCGCCCCCATCTGCTGCTGCCACAGGTTGGTGCGGGTGACCAGCAGCAGGTCACAGAGCAGGAGCTGGACCGCCTGCGGGGAGAAAGGATCGGGGTGAGCAGGGGGTGGGACAGACAGACGGGGGTGCCGAGGAGGCGGCTGCGGGCAGGCGCTGCTGCGCGGGACCCCCGCCGGGCTGCATGGCAGGGGCATTGCACTCCCAGTCTGACACATGCAATGCAACTACAATGCACCCCCGCGAGGGTCGGGGGCACCTCCCGCCAGGGCTGGGGGCTGGCGGCCGCCTCGTCCCTCCCCAGCCTGGCTCACCTTGTCAATGGTGCCCTTGGAGGGGCTGCCCAGCTCCAGGCTCTCCCGCAGGCAGCTGCTGGCCTTCTCACAGTGGCCCAGGGTGGCCTGGCTCCCATCCTGTTTGCTCAGCAAGGCACGGACAGCTCGGAAAGAGTGCAGGGCAGCACGGGGAAGGGGCTTCCTGCAAGGTGGAGGGGGCACGGTGAGTTCCTTCCTCAAAACACACCAGGTGCTCCAAGTGTGTTCAGCGAGGCTGTGCCAGTCCAAGGGAGAGGGGAGACATGCGATGAGGTGCCACCCCTGTCCCCAATGTCCCCAGCACTCACTCAGAGCTCTGCAGTGCCCGGGGCATGGTCTCCACCAGCGGATAGAGGCGCTCAGCCCCCTCCTCATCTCCCTGCAGCCAGTGGATAACGATGCCGATGAAGGATGCCCACCACTTGGACACGGGGTCAGTGCCTGCAGGGTGGGAGAGACACAGGAGCAGGGTGTTTCCACTGCCATGGCCCCCCACATGAGGTGACCCCAATGGGGGACACCCCAGCCTTACCTGTGACAGCCGCCAAGCCGGAGGTGATGGAGGGTGTGGGGCCAGGTGTGCCACTGACATCCGAGCAGCCATTGAGCAGCTGGAGGTACTCGAGGGCATCGGAGAAGCGCCTGTGGAAAGGGGCTGTGAGGGGGCTGGCCCCACGGCAGGCAGGGGGAGAAGGTGCCCATGCCAGCACTCACCCCTCTCCCTGGGCAGTGGGACGGCCGGGCTCAGGCATGGCCACGCAGCACAGCGCCTTCTCCAGGAGGTGCTCACGGAAGAGCTGGGTCACCTGGGCCAGCGGGTCCACTGGGGCACAGAGATGGGGTCAGCAGGTACACCACACCCCAAAACAGGGGGTGTGGGGGGTTTGGGAGCTTGGG